GTTTTAATGTCTTGGTCTTGAAGTTGAGTTCTAGTATGTGTATTACGGGACTGATGGGTGCTACGTTCAGAGCGTTTGACTCCCATGAGACATTTATCAGCCTCTATATTCGCTTAAAGTCTTTTAGAGTTAGCCCTTTAGCTTTAAATTAGCCAAAGTGCAGCTCATTTCACAACAGTGAATGCAACATTGCTGCAATCCGACTTTTATCTAGGTTGGCGAAGGCATCACTGGCACCACTCCTCCAAATATATGGTCTGTTTGGTCGATGTTAATTAGCACATCATTTACGTTGAAGCTAGCATTGACTTGAGATGAGACCTCATCAGATCATTTGACGTGCTGCGTTCAGCCCCCGATCCCCCGGTTTGGGACATCTGCGGTCTTCTGCAGTGAAGCGTCTTCTCCTCCGTCATTTTCTTTCTCATCTGCTCCCTGAACATGTAAACACACATTAACATCTGTCTGCACACACACACGCACACACGCACGCCTTCCTCCGTCAGTGACCCTGTTCAAACATCCTGAGCCAATCACATTAGTCAGAGTTTGAGTGTGTCATGCTTGTCTGGACACAGCTGTCTTTGTCGGCTGCAGATAACACCTAATGGCCTGTCTAGGTACAGAGCTCTGAGCTTGTTTTCATTGTCACACAGGCGGTTTTTTTTTTTTTTTTTTTTTTTTTGTTGTTTTTTTTTTCTCTCCTCTTCCAAAGACAAGCCGCCATATGTTCGTAGAAATTCCCATGTCGCGAGTGGCTGCTGACAGTATGTACACAACGTCCCTGGAGCCAGAGGCAGAGTGGCTGTCTCCACTCATGCAGTACATGTGCCACACTGTGCTGCCTCTGTTAGCCTGTTAGCCTGTTAGCCTGTTAGCCTGTTAGCCTGTTTGCTGAGGCTTCTGTTGGCAGCAGCAGCAGTGCTGCACGAGGAGACGCTGTGGAGTTCAGTAGGAGCCGAACTGATGTGTTCACCACCAGAGCTGATGATGCTGATGCTGCTGCTGATGCTGCTGCTGATGCTGCTGCTGATGCTGCTGATGACGCTGATGCTATTGATGCTGATGATGCTATTGATGCTGCTGCTGATGCTGCCGATGCTGCCGATGCTATTGATGCTGATGCTGTTGATGCTGCTGCTGATGCTGCTGATGCTGCTGCTGGTGATGATGATGCTGATGCTATTGATGCTATTGATGCTGATGATGCTATTGATGCTGCTGCTGATGCTGCCGATGCTGCTGATGCTATTGATGCTGATGCTGTTGATGCTGATTCCTCCAAGTCGGCTAAGACTAGCCTGGCGATAGCAATATTGATTTATGGTTTTGTCCAGAAAAATGTCTAAAAATAGTCTGAAGAAAAAGAAATAAAATAAAGTATTTCCTCAACAAAAAGGCCACAAAATCCCGTTTCCACTGGAGTGGCTCTACTTCCCCTTCCCGCCGTCTTCACTTCCTGTCAGGATTTCACCTTGATGCCTGTGGATGTGAGAACATTATTTACACCTGTGTATTGTATACTGTTCCAAACATCCCATCAACTTGACTGATATGGGCATTTATTTTGATTAAAGTTCTCGCGGCTTTCACTCTACTCCGTACCTCCAGCTCTCCAAGGTGCTGGCTGTGCACCGCCATGACGCTTCTTTTTTTTTTTTTTCACCGATCCTATAGCGTTCACTCTCCCTCTCTCCTCCTCTCTCCCTCTGTCTCCCCCTCTCTTTTGATTAATAGCCTGATGTATGGCTGCAGAGCCAAGGCCAAGGCTTATGGAAATCCACTCTCCTCCTCCTCTGCTGAATTGTGGGAACTGAGTCACAGTGTAATTCAGCTGGTGCCACGGTGCTGACCTTCACTGTGGACTTATTGCCTCTGTGGTCACACGGACACGGACCAGTGTGTGTTTGTGTGCACACACACGTACGTTTGCACATATTATTAAATACATAATGCAGAATTCGAGATAAAAAAAATGCGAAATAATAAAATGCTGAAGGAATGCGTTGATGCTGCTAGAATTTAAATATGTGACAAACAAAGAAATCAGACAAATGGTGTTTTGGTGTTTCTCGTCCTACTGTGGCCTCAAAACACTTTTCATTTTTCATTATATTTTTTAATTCCATATTAGCCAGTTCTAATGCTAGCGTACGTGCTACATTTTTAGCTAGTTCTATCCCTTTTCCCTCCTTACGTTCACACTTTCATTTTTTTGATATATTTTTATTCTTCGTTCTGTCACTGTTTTATTCACATTTTCTTATAATTATGTGAAAGTAAACGGTATATAAACCAGACTTCCACATACTGCTTCATGATTCAGGAACTCCAGTCCAGACGTTGGGTGAAGCAGAAGGTAAAAAATAAATTAAAAACAAATTTTAAAAAAATGGCTAACCCAAGAAGAGCTAAACGTTAGCTGTAGAAATCTAAAGGAATCTTCATAAAGAAAACGACACTGACTTCAGAATAGCTCATGAGTTGCCTACATTTGCAGCAGAAATAAATCCTCCAAAAGTTCTTGAATCGGACTCGGACGTCACAACTAAAATCACTGCTGAACTGTTGTCTTTTTCTTGGCTGTGCTAACGTGCTCTGCTCTGCTGTTCTGGATTTATCCGTGTGCTGTTCTGATTGTATGCTTTCATCACAGTAAGCCTTTCCTGGTCAGCGTAGCGGACGGGTGGTGCAGTGTGATGCTCAGGAGTTCTTTACAGCTTGTGTCATCGTTCCTTAAAGGTTTATTCCCCTGTGGAAGCGATAGATAGCACTTGTTATATGTCTTTGTGCTCTATAGAAATTATTCATGCTGGGTTTTTTTTTTTGAGCCTGAACTTATTGAGTGTTGGTGTGTGAGTACTCCTAGATGTGTGTTATTGTCCTCCTCCAGCACAGTAAAAGTCATAAAAGTGACTCTTGGTCTCCTGGTCTGCTGGAGGTGTGGAGGATTTATGACGAAGTGAGTGAGTGAGCGGGCGAGGGAGGGAGAGAAGGTGAAAAAAAAATGAGATGGAGAGATGGAGCCGGTGGTAGGAGGGAGCGAGGAGACAAGGAATGGACGGCTAATGAGTTAGAGAGGACAAGGAAGTGGAAAGGAGTGGGAGGTGGGAGGATGAGAAGACAGAGAGTGGAGAGAGGACAGGTTTGTTAGCTGCAGCTGCAGCTGCACTGACTGTCCCAGGAACTGTTTTCAGTCCATCAGTTCCATCTGTCCATCACCGGGGGTTACTCCATCACAGCCCTCATCCTCACTCCATCATCTCCAACCAGCAGAGAAATGACAGGAACATCAGCAGAGTGAGGAGCAAAGAGAGCACACACACACACACACACGTCAGTCACGCGTGTGTGATTTAGCGGACCTTATGTGCTGCTGTAAACCCTCCTCCTCCTCCTCCTCCTCCTCCTCCTGTTTCTCCTTCTTCTCCACCTCCCCGTGGCCGCTGCGTTCTCTCTCTGCTCCTCATTCCTTCTCCCTGCAGCCGTCCATTCTTACCGCTCTCTCCCTCTCTGCGGCTTTCCTTCTTTCTCTCTGTGTTTTTACTCTCACTCACCGACTCGTGTGTGTGTGTGTGTGTGTGTGTACTTGTGTGTATGTACCGAGGAGCTCAGTCTGTTTCCAGTCCAGGCAGAAGATGGTAAGTAACGTTTCTGCTGCAGCAGATCTGAGAGAATGTGGACAGTTTTGACTGAAAAAAAACCAAGCCTTTTCAGTGTCTGTGTGTGTGTGTGTGTGTGTGTGTGTGTTTGCACGCGCCATTACAGAAGGACTTTGTGTATTTTGTTGAGTGACTGTGGGTTGGTCAGAATTTCTGGTGCAGCTATGAGTGAGGCCGGTGTGTCCAGAGTTTCAGTTGAATCAACTCGTTGTTTTTACTGTAATCAAGAAAAAAAAAACCCTGACCTAAAGAAGCGAGTCAGTGAGGACAAGGTTTTGGCCTTTATTTATTTATTTGCTTAAAATATCATTACAAGTGCAATGCAACATGACTAGCCAAACAAC